CTGCCTTTAACAGCCTCATGCGCTTGGATCTTTCAGGGAATTCCTTGACTGTCTTCCCCACCTCACTGGGCATCCTGAAACTGCGCAGCCTGGACCTGCGGGACAACTGCCTCCCAGCTCTGCCGCCGCACATCGTGCAGATGCCGCTGGGGAAGAGCCTGCAGGAGGTCTACCTCAGCCGAAACCCCTACAACTGCTGCACGCTGGGCTGGTGGGACTCCCTGCAGCAGGTCGAGGGGTTGCACATCCCTGATGGGCAGAAAGTGACCTGCAGATATGCCTCTCGCACACTGAGCCCCAGGGCACTGCCTGAGTCCATCCTGCAGAGCTGTCGCTGGCAGACGGCTGACCTGGCACTGCTCTACCTGGTGCTGGCTCTGCCCACCTGCCTGACGCTCCTGGTGGCCTTTGCTGTCGTATTCCTCACGCTCAAGCAAAAGCTGCTGAAAATGGTGAAAAGCCGATGTGGGGTGTCCAGCCCTTACTGATGGCTGAGGAGGAGGATGGGCTTGGGAACGGTGAATGCAAGCAGATGGTCAGGATTACAGGTGACAACCCTCCAAGGTGAGTGAGAGGGAGACTTGATGGATGGAGGACCAAGGGTTGCTGGGAGAGCTGCTGTTCCTGCTATGGATGCCCTAAGGGTACCCAAAGGATGTGGGGCCATGTCCGGTGATGAAGCCTAGGGCTGTGCTGGGCATCCTCAAGGGCCAAATCTTCAGCAGAAACCTTCAGCTGATGTTGGCGAGAGCTGAACGGACACAACAACAAACCTCTCGGCTGAAGGGGCACAGGCAGTTTTCCCAGCGCTGTTTTTCCTCCCCCTTCAGGCAGTTCCTTTTATTTATTCACCCCACCCCCGTAGCCAACTCTCCATTGCAAAACATCCTCCAGGTCTGCAACCAGCCTCTACGAATTGCCCTGGGCTGGAGCAAGCATCACCCGGGCACTGCGGAGAAAGGTCTCCGTGGCCACAGCTTTCCACACCACTCTTGCTGGCACCAGCAAACTCGCAGGCAGCCTTGGGCGCGCACCCGTGTGCGTGCACTGGTAAGACAGACGTTGTCAGCAGGGCTGAAAGACGTTTTGGGATGTTGTTGCGTGGTTAAGTCACAATCCTGGTTAGAAAAGCCCGTTAAAAGCAGCCCAAGCTGCAATGATGTAAAATATTGATTGCAAGGCAGGAGAATAAATTATATCACTGGTAACATTTTATCATCCATTTCTTTTTCTTGGCAACTGCTGGATTAAACAGATGCAAAGGATATAAAATAAAAGAAAGCCTTCCTCCTTGTTGCACAAGCCCAGCTCTTGTGGGCTTCGGCTCCAGTGCCGTGGCGGGGTTTCCTCCACCCAGCCCTAGTCGCAGCACATATCCGCTCTCCCGTACCAGCAGCGCACTACCTGGGGAAGTGCTGCTTTGTTCCTTAGAGGGTTGCTGTGGGTGGAAATGAGAAGTGATGGTGGCTTGTGCTAACTCAAAAGCCCTGCTGAGAACCGGAGCGGCTTTATTCCTGTGTTACTGTTGGGATTTTTCCAGTGAAACCTGTGTCTGAGTTTAATGGGAAAACGGGGTGTGGGGAAGTGGGCGGCAGTGCCGGTGTGGGCATGCTGGGGGCTCGTCGTTGCCAGGACTTGGATGAGCTCAGCAGGGTGATGCGGGGTGTGCTGGGGGCTTGTGCCCCTGCAGCCAGCCCCAGTGTCGCTCTTGTACACTGGAGTTGTCCTGGGAGGTGGTGGAGCGAGATGCTTGAGGCTGGTGTGGGGCCAGGAGTGATGCTGGAGGGCAGTGCAGACAGGGGGAGCCCAGGCTGTCAGCAGGGCAGCATCCTTCTCGGTGCATGCGTGAGGATGAGGACTGGGGTCACTGGTGAGCCTTGCTTGGCTGATTGCTGGGCTGGGCTGGAAAAAACACCGTAGGGTTGGACCATGCTGGATCAGCTGGCAGCACCACTGGAGCAGAGCGCTGGCAAGGCTCTGGAAACCCAGCTGTCAAATCTGTCTCAGAAAACAGCTGCTTTCTGGCCCTGTTTTAGACCAAAACGGCCAAAACCAAATCGGGCCCCAGCTGGGGAGTCCCTCAACCTATTTCAGCCATTCATCTGCCCGTAAGCTGCATGCCAAAGGGACAACAGTGACCTATAAATACGTTGTGTGATGTCCTCCATTGGGTCTGCACCAACACTGGGTACCGCAGCCACATTTCAGCATCTCCCTGCTGGCAGGGTGAGCAGGGTGCCCCTGTGAGCACCCCTCTCCCTGGGGTCATTTTCCCCTGCTGTGGGTGCTGGGTCTGGCCTTGGAGGGTGGATGTGTGCGCTTCCTCCATTACCGCTGTGGCTGGCGGCAAAAAAAAAAGATCTGGGGCACAGCCATGGGCGCGCACATAGGTAGGAACCTGAGTGCCTGGCACTGCCCAGGGCATGGATTAAAAGTGGGTATTCTTGCTCATATTGAGCTGATGTGGGGGTTACTCAACACTCCTCCATCACGGAAGATGTTTGCAGCTTCACCTGGACACAGGGACATGGTGTCCGGAAAGACGAGGCTCCCCTGGAGCTGGGACGTGCAAGGGATGTCAGAGCAACAAGACAAGCTTCCACTTTCAGAGTGGTTGATGTCCTTCCAAAGCTGCTGTTGCAAGGTTGTCGTGATCGGGGAGGTCCACAGTGACTGCAGAAAGGCAAATGTCACACCAATCTTCAGTAATGATGAAAAGGACACCCTGGGAAGCAACTTACGTCAGTCATCCTTATGCTGGGAAAACCATGGAGTATGCTTTCTTGGAGCACGTCTCTAGAAGAAGAGGGTGGCTTGACCAAGGGTAAGTCATGCCTGACCAACCTGCTTGCCTCTCATGATGAAATGGATAGATTTGTACGCGAGGGAAGAGCAGTGGTTACCGTTTACCTCAACTTCAGCAAGGCTTTCAACACCGTGTCCCACCATCCAAGTTGAGGATGTCATGGGCTGAACAGGTGGGCGACCAGGTAAATCGGTCAGATGCTCAAGCACAGAGGGTAGCAGTCGGTAGGATGCACTCTTCCGGGAGGCTGCTGAGAAGACACCAAGGGTCTGATCTGGGATCTGTCCCATTTGATGTCTTTGTCCATGATCTGGAGGAGGCCGTGGGGAGTGCCTTTGTGTCATGTTCACAGATTAACCCAGTTGGGAGGACCAGCTGATACTGGCTAGGGCTGCTGTCCTGATGGACTGGGGTGGGCTGAAGAAATGGGCCAGCAGGAGCCTCAAGATCCAGAGAGGCAATTACCCCCCCTCAACTCAGTGCTCATGTAGACCTCAGCCAGTGAGGAGGGCTGTACCTGGGGAGGGGGTGCAGGCAACCCCTCTGAGCCCCACCAGGATGAAGCCAGGCACAGGCTGGCCTGGCCCTGGGGAAGGCTGGGTGTGGAGAGGTCCCCTCCCACCCAAGTGGGGGATCTTTATATGCTGTTGTGTTACAGCTGTTGCTGGAAACAGACCAAGGCCTATGCTGGAAATCTACACACCCCTTCCGTTCCTGGGAAAGCTGAGTCAGGCTCTCTGTTTCTTTAATCTTTGGCAAGTCCTTGAGGCGTCGGCTTCCATTTCTCTTCTGAACTGAAGACTCTCTTGGACAACTATAAGCTCACTCATCTTCTCCAGTGATGACAAAGTACAGTGGTTTAACTGACACTTGTTTCAGATTTTTCACAGAACTGACTCATTTCAGGGTGTAGGAGGGAGAGCTCTCCCAAAACCCAGCTTCTGTGCTATGATATGATGTCTTATTGATAAAATTGACATGTTTTAATTCACTCGTGGTTGCAAGAAGGAAGACAGGAACTAGTCTTGGAGGCAGTTTACAGCTTACCTCGGGCGTTCGTTTGTGGAGGCCACTCAACTCAGGAGGAAGGCCCATCCCATTCACAGCCACCCAGGCTCAGAGAGCCAAAACCTGGGAAGCTTTTGGAGTCGCATAATTGTCTAACGGATCCTAAGCTTAGTTCTCCGATTATTACCAGAGAGCAGGATGTGGCAAGTACAAAACAGCTGAGGTAGCAGGTGGGATTAAAAACTTCAGTGGGATGAGTTAAATATTTGTGTGCAGAGATGAGCTTCTCAGTGACCACCAAAACATGGAGGACCTTTTGCTTTAGCTTTACTTGTCATGTCAGGTACTCCCTGAGCATGATTTTGAGTGGAACTACAGTCCGATGAGGCAGCAGGGGTAAAGGTTCTGTTTTACTCTAAAACCACCCCCCAGCCTTTGTGACCTTCTACTATGCTACTTTTGTTTTTTTTTTTTTTTTTTTTTTTTTTTTTTTTTCCCCAGATAGTTGAAGCACATTTTCCCAGAACTGAGCTTTTACTCAGAAAGCATCATCTGGTAGGATAAGGAAGCAAAACACCTCACTTCAGCAGTTTGAAATCACTGTATTTTCAAAAGTACTTTCAAGACTAATTTATTTTCTAGATATTGCATTTCTTAAATATGGGGATTTCTGTTTGTGTAAGTGGAAGCTGGAGATTTAAGCATTGCTCAGGAAATAAAAGTAATATTCTCAATGTGGTGTTGATTTGTCCAGAAAGACTAATACATATTTAACATTTCAGCAAGTGATAAGACATAAATATTTAACACTTTGTTTTCAGGCAAAGCTGAATAGAAATTGCAGCAAGGCAAGCTGGCGAGGTTTTCAGCCAAAGCTGACTGAAATGTAAACAAATGAAAGATTAAATAATTTAAAATTATTTTAGGCACTCACACATAGGAAAAGACTAAAATCACCCGATAAGTTCAGCTCCCCCAGCTTCCATTTCATCAAGTCTGGCTTCTTCAACAAAGCTTGCTTAAGCCTGGAGCTGCTGTAGCACCTTAGGCCTTGGGTTCTCCGTATCCAACGTAAGGTGCACGAGTGGAGAACAATGCAGGAGAACATGTACGCTGACATCATTCTCTTGGTTAGGACTGCGAGATTTGTCTTTGAACTGCCCATCCAAGACATCTTTGTCCAGAATCACATTTCTTCACCTGACTCCACATCCCATCCACAAGACTCCAGCTGCTCATCCTGCGGAAACTCAACCTCAATGTCATAGATGAAATCTGGGTCATCCTTCTTCTTTCTGTTCTTTTCGAAGACCTCATCCATGATGCTCTTCCTTCTGGCTAGTTCCTTGTCATCTAGTTTGTTCATATCCTCTTCTGGGTCAATGGTGTCCTCCCGTTGAAACTTTCCCAAGCTCTCAGCCAGGCTCTCTCCTCCCAGGTGACCCTTCAGCAAACTGTACAGCTTCTCTAGCTGACACAGGGAGACTCCCTCTAGGTAAGCCTTGTGCCGAGGGTTAGTCTTCAGCTGCTCAGCAGCCACTCTGCAGTCTGAAGAGAAAGCCCCTGTGAAGACTTAGAGCTGCAAGCAACTCTCTTCCCATAAACAGATCCTCTTCTCCCAAACCCTCACAAGTGAGACCTCCAGACTCAGCAGGGCCACTACTCAGGTGAAGCTGTAGCCTTGGGCTCCTCAGGAGGAACAGCATTACCCCAAACGAACCCCTCTTTGCGCTCCCTGCATGCTGGTAAGAAGCTACCCAGCGGTTACTAAAAGCGCTGTTACCAACTGGTTGTTCCCCTTGCTGTGCCTGGCCCCGAGTAACGCACCTGAGAACTTGGAGAAATTTCTGACGGGCATGATGCGCTGACGAGTCTTATTCTTGCTGTCGTCTCGGTAGATCAGGATGACAGATGGGGGCTGAAAGCAGACGCCGCACTTCTTTGCAATGTAAGTCATTATGGTCCTCACTGCTGGCTGAAGCGTGGTCAGCTTTGTCAGAGATGCCTTCAGCCACCTCTAGGCTCACTGAAAAACAGGTAAATGAAAAAGGGAAAGAAAGCATGAGCGTCTCTCAATACTGTGCTTTTTATCAGGGTTAGAGTGACACAAGTTCAGCAAAACCACGCAGGCAGGGTGTCAGTCCGCCTGATTTCTGAAATTTCAGAAGCTGAACGTGTCCCTGTGAGCTGGGTGCCAGGGCACGGAGCGACTCCCAGCTGCTGGTTTACACCTGTGCCTCTACTTGGCCAGGATTCCAAATCACACAGAGGTAAATTGTTTGGTCTATCAGCTAAGTTAAGTACTACACAGTCAAATGATACTTAAAAGATGGGGTTTTTTTAATAGTCATGCATTTTTTAAAATTAAAAAAGTCATGAAACAGTAAATCAATGTACTACAGTTTCTTCACAAACAACATTTACTGCCTCTTATACCCATGGCTCTGGAAAGCCAGGAACTGCCTACCTGCCAAGCCCTTTTCTGCTCTAACCACCAGGCTTTTAACTTCGTATTGCCTGGTAGTTCATGTCAAAGTTCCAGGTGGGACTTTAGGGAGAATCCATTTTTTTCAGTACAGATATAATGATACTTTTTTGTTGTAAGGTTTTTTGAAAAAAAAAAAAAAAAAAACCTTCAGAAAAATGCAGATAAAACAATTTGAAATGTCTTGGCACCCCACTGCGTTTCCACAAAATGAAATCTGGATGTTGCAAGAGGTGCAACAAAGAGAGAATTCTATCGTACACACTTGTTTGCTTTGAGAAGATACGAAGTGATTGGTATGGTTCAAATAGCCTTTACTGGTCTCTGTTTCTGTCACAAACCTGGGGATATCATAGCCTTTATTTCATATAATGAGGGAGAACCTTGCATCCCTAATGTTGATGTATGTAACACTGGAATTCCCCCTTTTTTAAAAAAAAAATATTTTAAGAGGAGGGGTACCTAGTGTACCTAATCAGGTTTTGTAAAGCTCTCTTACAGTTTCAGAGTGATCTCAATACAGCACCAGACCTGTAACCAATTACACATGGGACACAGAGAGAGAAAAGATTCAGAAATGAAGCCCAAAATTAATTAAAATTCCTTATTAGGCGACAATGAAACTACAAATTCATTTTAAAGCAAGATGTTCAACCGTTTACTCCTTCTCAAACTAAAACACACTATCAATGAAACTGAAAAGCTGAGAATTTACAAGTGACAAACGGAAATGCTTTTTATACAGCACAGTATTGCGGGTAGAGCTTAAGCTACAAAGTGTTCATGAAGGTCAAGAATATCTTAAGATTTGAACATGCTGAGCTGCTGTGCATGTGGGCAGAGGAACCGAGAACTTTTGTCTTAATTAAAAGGTGGAGGAAGGGGGCGGGTGGGGAGGAAGTGCCGAGCGACCCACTAACCTATGGCCGTGGTACATAGATAGCAAGAACGTACTGTATAAACCAGATTTTTGTTGGGAGCCCCACTGAAGGAGTTTCCCCAAAATGAAATTTGGACTGCGGAACTCTCTGGTATCAGCGTGTCGGTCTGCTGCTTCATTAAAGGGGTTAATCCGTAACAATCCTTTTTATTCTTCTCTGAAGTATTTTGTCTTGCAAGAGGAAAAGGGGAACGTCAGCCTGACTGGCAGCAGCAGCAGCTTCTCTTTTTCTGCCTTATCACATTGGTCCCTGCCCAACACGCTCTTGAGAATTCCTCAGCATCAGCTCTGTCCCCTTTTCGAGTCAGATGAAGTATCAGAGGAGACTTCAAGATCCAAATCCTCTGCAGATCTTCTTTCTCAGCTTAGTGTACAACACTGAATGCACGTGATATTTTTCTTTCGGTTTTAAATAAGCGAAAATATGCCAAACATGAAGGTTATCTCCTTCTCTGACCGCCCTACAGACTGCAGCAAGGCAAACTAAGACATGATACCCAAAGCCTTAATGTATGACTCCAAATCAAGAAGAATTGCACTAATCTCCAAAAGCTACTTCAAAGTTGAGTTGAAAAGCCTTCCTTTGTTAAAACCCATGTAGGGAAGAGCTGAAATTTGCAGTAGTGTTCTTGATATCGAAAATCAATGAAAGCTGCTCTACCGTTTGCTTTTAAATAGTTCTGTGAGTCAGGCAGCAAAGCCGATGTCTCTCAAGAGCCACTTTCAGTATCTCAAAGTGAGAAACGATGCTTCAAACTGAACAGAAATGGCTTTTTAAAGGGTCACCGACAATCACACCAGTGGGCCTCCACCTCTGAAATGGCAAGTTAGTCCTGAGGTGAGAAATACAGACGTGAGGAGAAGCCGTTCGGACCCACGTAAAAAAGGTTTCATATCTTCAGAGAATGCAGGCAGCAAGCGTCGCTACCAGGCTGATTTCGTAGCTCTGAAACATAAATAGGTGGGGTTTTTTTTTGCCTTGCCAGTGTCCGTGCTGCAGCAGAGCTATTTTTGCCATTAAAAAGTCGCTCTTCTATCGCTTCTCTCCGCCAGACGAGCAAACCCCGAGGGCTTTCTGAGCGGTCGAGGCCCAAACGTTGAGAGAGAAGGGAACTGGGTTCCTCCTTCCCGCCTC